AGCCTCAATCTGCCTCGATTGGGGGCAGCTGGCTGGACCCCATCTGTGCATGAATTTGTGCACTGGGCCTTTAGTTATTAATAACTAGCTAATTACAATGATACCATTAGTACTAATTATGTGCCGGATACTATTTTAAGCACTTAGCATGTTATTCTTTCAACACTGATAGATAAGTGCTATTATATTATCACCCGAATTTATAGGTGAGGAAATTAAGGCAGAGAGAGATTAAGTAACTTGCTTGAAGTCACACAGCTTTTAAGTGGCAGAGTTAAAATTTCAACCCAGGTGGTCTGGTTTCGAGGTCCATGCTCTAAACCCTCTGCTCTGTTGCTTCTTAATCACATAATCTCTCTCTATGGAGGTACAAGAAGATGATGATGATGATTTTTTTTTTAAGGAAAAAAAGATTGTCCAGTGTAGACAAATGACTTTTCACAAACACTTCTAGCAGGGGTTCTGTATTATGACTCTCTTGGGGTATACTTACAAACAACAATCTCCCACAAATACTCCTACACAACAGCTGCTTCTCTTGTTTCTACCCATGTAACAAAGTATCTTTAAAGAACTCAATTATTTGAGAGTTGTGAAAATTGCACAGAATGAAGCTTTTTGCCCTAGGTGCTCATAAATTAAGGTCAATAGTAATTGTTCCATTGATTATTTAAAAGAGTTTAATTCTTTTAACTCATGTCAAGGTCCCCTGTGGTGAAAGATATTAATTACAATTTAACTACACCCAAATATTGATGAGAAAAGGCGGTGAACCGAGTACCCAAAAAGCCCCTTTCTGCTTACTGGGTTCAAAACACATTTTTCTACTTGAAATTTGCTACAGAGAGACAGGAAGTCATTTCTATTCTGGTTCTATTTGGCAAACAGACAACATAGGCTTTATTTTTAAGCAATCTATCATAACAAAGTTCCATTATGTCAAAACAAACTAACCGTGCTTAATGATTACATCATAGTGAGATCCACCCCCCATATATTATTCTTTATTCAGAGTAAACATTTTAGTAGAAAAAAGGGTCTTTAAAAATGCTCTGCTTTTTTCCAGTTACCTAAATAACAGGCTAATACCAGAAGGAAAGTTCTTCATTATTCAATAATCATTGCCTTTTTTTTTTTTTTTTTTTACAAAATAATTAGATCAATGTGAGCAAAAAGGATTTCTTTCAATGGTGTGCTTTAGTGCCAGAAATTTCATCACATGGGCTGTACTCTCGGGCACCTGTTGCTTTGGTGGGATGCATAGTGGTCGGGGAGCAGTAGGGAGATTATTCTGTCCTCTCTTGGGAACTAGTTGTACGGGCCCTGGGAATGGAGGCCTGCCCTCCCGGGGGACCCAGGTTGGCCCATCTGTGCCCCAGACAAGCCAGTGTCTGAGACTGTCTTTCCTTGCTGTTTAATTCACACCACCACAGTAATGCAGGACCTCCCCTACCAACTCAGAACACAGACTTGGTTTATTAGCAGGTGTTTTTTTTTCCCAGCAAAATATAATTGGAGTTAATTACATATTAAAACCTTGGAAGGGCTCCCTTTTGATTATTACCATACTGTTGAAATGGAGGTCTTTTATTTATATATTTATTTGTTAATGTGATACCCACCTTATGCCAGGCACAGTCCCATAGCAGAGACAAGTTACACAAACAGTTATAATGCAGTCTGGAAAGGGCTGGGCTGGGTCTTTACTCTTGAGAAACTCATTTTTATCCATCTTTGAATGCTCAGCCAAGGTGATTTATATAGAAATTATCCAGTAAGTGTTTGGGGCCTTAATGAACGTTGCTATGGGAGCCCAGACAATGGGCACCTGAATCAAGGAGGAAGCCAGAGTGAAGAAAGAGTTCCTGGAGAAGGGGACACAATCTGAGTCCTTTTTTCCCCCCTTAATCGAACTGTTGCTTTCTTTATTAATTTGCTAGAGGGCCAGTGCATGAATTCGTGCATGGGTGGGGTCCAGCTGGTCCCTCACCCCATGGGGGCTGATCAGGCTGGGCTGGTGTGGGGGAGGAACTGCGGGAGGTTGGCCGGCCAGCCCCGCCCTCGATTCAGCTGGGGCCGGCCAGGGGGAGGGGCTTCCCCCCACCCTGCAATGGGCCAGTTGGCCGGCCACAGTGCACGTCATAACGACTGGTCGTTCCAGTCATTCTGGTCGCTTGGCTTTTATATATATAGATTATTTAAAATCTGGGGGAATATCTTTATAGCTTCTTTATCTGCTTTCACTTTTTCCAGATAGCCTGACACAGGCTGAGTCTTAAAGGATAAGTCAGCCAGGGTAGAAGGAACACATACAGAAAAGGGGACCTTAATTTAAGATATGTGTCCTCCAACACACACACACACACACACACACACACACACACACACACACACGTGACATGCAGGAGACAGAAGTACGCTCTCTTTGCAAATAGTAATAACTATGCTATTCTCTATTTCAAGGACATTGCAGTAATTAATGTGTGAGAGATGA